TTGGCGGGTTTGAATCTCCCGCCACGGTCCCATTGGTTCCCCCAGTGGAGGGACTAGGATCCCAGTCCCCATTGTTGTCCAGGACTGAAGCTCAGGCGTGTGCGCTGACCTCCGGTGGCGGTCAGTGGACACAACACAGAGTTTGTCTCCCAGCACACATCAGGGAAGTTGAAGTCACCCTTCAACCAGGTCATGTTGTTTGGATACCCTGTCAAGCTGTTCAAGGAGGGCAGCATCCACCTCCTCATCCTGGTCAGGAGATCCGTAGCAGACTCCTTTCTTCCCTTATCCTCACCCAGATACTTTCCACTGGACTGTCGCTTTCCTCCTGCAGTATTTCCAGATTTTCTGTCTTAATAGGCAGTGCTCTGAGCCACATTGTGATGAGGTGGTGGTACAAATGTTTCAACTAATCAACAGAAATGATTTCTCTCAGTGTACACTACATCAACAAAAACTACAAGTTCAAGATATGTTGTATTAAGAGGCAAAAGTAAAAATATAAAAGTGCATCCCTGCTTATCCTGGGATTATGTCCTTAAGTAGAACTTTTATCCATACTTTTGATAGAGCCATTATGGCTGAATCAGTGGCCTATGCCTGCCTGCCTTAAGGCTTGAACAGATAAGATGAAAATCATAGGTCTTGGGTTGTCCATCAAATGCAATTTGCATGTCACTAACAAAGTGGGAAGCCTGGTTTTGAACAACAAAACCAAATGAAGCTTGAAACCTCCTCTCACTTCCTTGCCTTTGCCCAAGGCAATTTGAAGGTGCAGGAGTCCGCAATTTAACTTTCACAGATGGAACTGGATGCATGATATTCCTCTCACCAGTTCAAGCCTTCAGTATCCCTGTCTGATTCCACTCCTCCAGCACCACAAATCACATCTCTCTGGGCATGCTTTGTCCAGGGCTGGCCTGAGTTTTTTTGCACCCTAGGCAGGGCTACCTTCTGGTGCCCCTGCTCCCCAGTTATGGGGTTGCCAACCTCCAGGCAGAGCCTGGAGAGAAGGAAGTCCTACTTCTCTCCCCCTTTAGGTGAGCGAGGAGGCGGCAGCGAGGTTTCCGGGAACCCAAACCAAAACACCCCACATTTGGATTTACAAAAGCCGACCCCGGGTGGGGGGGGAAGGCGAGGTGGCCTTGCGCTCCCCTTTCGCACCCCCCATGCCACGTGGCTGGGAGCAGCAATAGCACACGGGCTTCTGGCGGGGGGAGAGGCACAGTTCGGCACCCCATCCAGGGCCTGGCACTCTAGGCAAATGCCTAGTTCGCCTAGTGGGTGAGCCGGCCCTGGCTTTGTCAATGCCACCCTCCTTGCAGGGTGTGCCTGGCAGCTTACCTTGGCGTGCTGTGTATTCATTGTCCTCGATGAGTCGGGCCAAGCCAAAGTCAGCAATCTTACACACCAAATTGTCCCCCACCAGGATGTTGGCTGCCCGCAGATCTCGATGGATGTAATTCATCCGTTCGATGTAGGCCATTCCAGCTGCAATCTGAGCAGTACGAGAGAAGACAGTGATCCAATGGATAATGCATTTCCACCCTTCTCAGCTGTCCAGGGGGCTCATCTGTCTATTACTGTTCTTTCCTGCATGGATTTCCACCCAAACTCCCCCTGGCATGGTAAGACAGTGCAGTAAAGTCCAAGAAAACCCTTCTCCTATAATCAACATTTTATCTCCCTGGCGGCAAGATCCTTCTGGCAGAAAGTAAGCAGATGAAATACATGTAACTGAATTTGCTTGTGTAAATTTGGTACTTCAGAAAAAGCTGTTTTGAGTCTCTCCCGTGTGTGTGTGTGTGGGGGGATGTCCTGGAATGTCCGAGCAAACATCTTTGTAACATCCCCCCCCCCTCTGCCTTTCTTCGGTGAACAAAAATACAACAATATTATGGGATGTACACTCCTGTGTATCTGATGAAGCAAGCTCCAACTCATGAAAACTTATAATGGAATACATTTCTGTACCGAGCATGATGAGGGCGTGAACACATGGAGCCACCTTCTACTGAATCAGACCATTGGTCCATCAAGGCCAGTGTTGCCTACTTAGGCAGCAGCTCTCCAGGGTCTCAGGTAGAGGTGTCTCACATCCAGGGCTATTTTTGGGCAGGAACGCACAGGAACGGCGTTCCGGCTGGCTCCCAAGTTGGCCACGCCCAGCAGGAACTCATTAGCATAATAGGCCACACCCAACAGCAGAAACTCATTAGGATTGGCTACATTAGGGGTGTGTGGCCTAACATGCAAAGGAGTTTCTGCTACAAAAAAGCCCTGGGTTTTGACCACAAACAAGGTAAACAGAATAACAAGCAAAAGGTGGGTATGGCTGGATAACCACACTTCTGGTAACATGGGGGTGTGGCCTAATGTGCTAATGAGCTGTGCTGTCAGGGGTGTGGCCCAATATGCTAATGAGTTCCTGCTGTTGGGTGTGGCCTATTATGGTAATGAGTTCCTGCTGGGCTTTTTCTACAAAAAGAGCCCTGCGTCACATCACTTACTACCTGATCCTTTTAACCGGAGATGCCAGGATTGAAAGTGGAACCTTCTGCATGCCAAGCAGATGTTCTACCATTGAACCACGTTCCCTCCCTGGGCATTTCTGGGTACCTACTCCAGTACCACCATCTAATTCTGTTCCTACAATGCCACAAATCACGTTTCCCCCTCCTGACTGCATGCCTGTTTTCACCTTAAGATGTCTTGGTTTGATTTTGATTTTTGTTAGTTGTATATCACAGTTCCCAAATAATGTTTGCAATGAAATAACGTCCCCAAATTCAACCCATACTACCAAAGTGGGGAAAGCCAATTCCCAAACAATAAAGCACCAGCCCAATGGGGAAAGGTGGAAAGGGTGTCATGGGGAGTAGCTTGAAATCCAACAATAGCACCAGGGGATGTTGCCTGCCTTTGTCACATCCAGCCTGTAACTCCCCCCCCCCCCCATCTACTGCAACAAGCAGGATTCTGGATGGACCACACAGTGGGGGTAGAGGAAGAAGAAAGAAGGCAGAAACAAAACTGTTTCTGTTTCTGCAGGGGGGGGATTTAAAGTGATAAGCACATTCTTCACACTGCGGCCTGGTGACCCAGCAGCCAAGGGACGCCTTCCTAGCTAGGGCTTGAAGCTTTAATCAACATAATTGCTAGATGGCTCAAACCAAGTGTGCCAGTTGATTAATCTGTTGGGGCAAACTGTAATGGAGAGGAGACATTTTTAATCAGCAACTGAAGGGCGGACTGGTTTATTCTTCAGAAGCCCACCAGGGAGGCTGATTTTGAAATTAAACCACCTCTGGCTTACCTGGGCTGCCATATCCACCAGCTGCGGTAGCTTCAGGAAGCGCCCGTCTCCGTCTTTTAAAAAATCCAACAAACTCCCTGTGGAGAGGAGGGGAAAGAGGTCAGCTGCTGGTGGGAAGCCATCTCCAACCACTCCTTCCCACGCTGTCCCCAACTTCTTCTACCACACTGTTCCCTGCTCTCAGTTTCCGCTCCTCTCTAGTTACTGAGAGGCAAGCTGTGGATGATGGATCCAACCCAAGCAGCTGGGCACCCCCTCCCAACTTTATTCTGGGTTAGAACCCAAAGCTCCAAGAAGGCTACCAACCAACACTGCTTAGCTCCCACCACCTTCCATTCTGAAGACCTCAGAATTTTCTACCAGCCACCCAGCTGTCTGCCCTAATTTGGCCGGGGCTGGGCCCTGTTGTCCAAACTGTGGCTGCGGTCACCCACGCTAAATAATCCACTTTCAATCCACTTACCAACTGGATTTTACTGTGTCAACTGGCAAAATCCAGTTGGGAAGTTGATTGAAAGTGGATTTAGTGTGTGTGACCACAGCCTGTGGCCCTTTCTGCACTCTCCTTTCAATCCATGCTGCCAATGGTGTCCTCCAAGCAATTTTGCTCTAAAATTGAGTTCAACCTTAATTTTATTCCACACCCCTCATTCTGCATGACGTTACCTCCCTTCAGTAGTCAGCCTGGTTTCAGCCTGCCTGTTGCCCTGGGTTTAGGGTTGCCAAGTCGATTGGACTCACCGTCGGGGGAGCGTCGCCGGGGTCCGGGAGCTGCTGCCGGATGCGCGCGCGCACACCGCCAGAACGTCTCAGGAAGTGACGCGTGACGTAGAGCACGCTGGGGGCGTGGCCCCAATCGTTGGAGGGAAAACCATAGAGTTTTCCCTCCAACGATTGGGGCCACGCCCGCAACGTGATCTACGTGGTTGCGTCACTTCCTGTGACGCAGCCATGCTGCACTTCGGGGGGTGGGGTTCCCCCTGGGGCCCAATTCCGCGGCGGCGGAAATCGGGCCTCCAAAGCGGGGGTTTACCCGCCACCCGCCCCCACTTGGCAGCCCTACCTGGGTTATTTGGATGCTGTTTTGCCATGGACTTAAACTGCCTCAGCTCGAACACTGAGAGAATCCGGAGTGGCAGGCAACTGTGGAAAGGACCTGTGTCTGACATAAATCACTGCCCTCTTGAGGAAAGGGTTTCTGGGATACCTTTCAAAAATGATGCCAGGATTTTTGAACCATTGCTGCCTTACTCAAGGACGGATGTTGTCTGTTTTGAACCACTTTTACTTTTTAACCCTTCCCTTTGCAAGATATATTGGCCAACCAATGTGGTGTGGTGTGGTGTAATATTAAAACAGAACTGGGGAGACCTGGATTCAACCCCCCGCTCCCCATCCCTGAAGTTTATTAGGCAGCCTTGAGCTAGTCATTCGCCACCTGAGTCCTGACCTACCTCACAGGGTTGTTGGAGAAAAGTGGACCATGTATACCATTCCTGAGCTCCTTAGAGGATGGGCAGGATAAACACATGGCATATTCCTCCATCACAGGGAGAAAATATATAATTGCAGGGCCAGAGATCCCACCAAGTGCACAAAAAGGGGTGTCATAAGGAGGTCCCTAGTTTTGCCTGGGGTATATGCCTAATCCAGACACCTCTTTGCAGCCCCCCCCCCCCAATGCACACTCCCGGCCGGCCTGCTATTTGCAAGCCCTGAGGCTCATTTCTGTCTGAGCAGCAAGGCTCTTGAACTCAACCCTCATTTTGGACCTTGGCTCATGAACTCAGTGACGATATAGATGGGCTCCTCAGACACCACCGCATATAGTTGCACCAGCTTGTCATGCCTCAGGCGCTTCATGATCTGTGCCTCTTCCAGGAAGGCTTCCGGAGACATGGTCCCTGGTTTCAGGGTCTTCACTGCCACTTTGGTCGTTCCATTCCATGTGCCTGAGAGCAAGAAAAGGGGTGTCAGGGCCATGGAGGCAGAGAGAGAACAGCGCTCCCTGCACACCTCCCCCCAAAACCTGTGTGGAAAATGGAGATGGATGGGGGAAAGTCCATGACCAGATCAAAATGGTTCCCACTACAATATGAATGGTGAGGAAATGTGCAACAATGAAATGAGGTTTCCAGAATAAAGAACCTAAGAATGAAGGCTCAATCCTCCCCATCCTTCAGGTTGAAGAGAATAGTTTCCCCATGCAGCTACCACCATCCCTTCTTTGTAAGAACACCGGAGGTGCCCTGCTGGATCAGGCAAGTGATCTATCTAGGTCAGTATCCTGTCCCAAACAGCAGCCAATCAGTTGCCCCAGAGAGCCAACAAACAGGGCATAGAGGCCAAGGCCTTCCCCCAATGCTGACTCTTAGCATCAGTGTCCAGAGGTTGACAATTGACTGCTTCTCAGTGTAGAGGTTTGCTTTAGGCTAGTAGCCACTGAAGGATCATTTCCTCCAGGGCTTTTTTTGTAGAAAAAGCCCAGCAGGAACTCATTAGCATAATAGGCCACACCCAACAGCAGTAACTCATTAGCATATTAGGCCACACCCCCATGTTACCAGAAGTGTGGTCATCCAGCCACACCCACCTTTTGCTTCTTATTCTGTTTACTTTGTTGTCAAAACCCAGGGCTTTTTTGGTAGCAGGAACTTCTTTGCATGTTAGACCACACACCCCTAATGTAGCCAATCCTAATGAGTTTCTGCTGTTAGGTGTGGCTTATTATGCTAATGAGTTCCTGCTGGGCGTGACCAACTCAGGAGCCAGCCGGAACTCTGTTCCTGTGCGTTCCTGCCAAAAAATAGCCCTGATTTCCTCCATAAATCTGTCTAATCTCCAGGTAGATCTCTTTAAATTGGCATCAGCCAGGGAAATAAGCACTCTCTCTCCCTCTCTGAGACCTGCTTGAGTTTTGTCTCTTTTGTAAAGCACCAGAACAATGCTGTGTAGAAACTACCCCCAGCTGCCTGTCCTTTGAATGGATGCTTGATTTGCTAGGAATCAACAAGTATAACTTTGCAAGAGCTTGGAGTTACTACCCAAGAGTACAAGCTGCTGTTTTTTCCTTCTGGTTGAGATGGACATAGTCAAGGGACAGGGCTTTCTCAGTGGTAGCTTCTTGACTGCATAACTCCCACCCAACAGCCATGTGCCCAAAAGCAAGTCTGCTGAATTTTCAGTGCCAGACAGTACATTGGATTACAAAAATTAAATGTTTTTGTCTATGTGTGTGCATGCCTGGATCTGCATACTGAGGTTTTGTTTCAAGCCTCTGACAAAAATTATGCTACCGTAATTTCTGTTAATCTTTAAGGTGCCAGAAGCTTGCCTTTATAGTTTTTGTGTTTTTATAGCAATTTTATGCTGCTGATGCTCTGTGTGAAGTTCTGCTTTTATTTGTTTACGTTGCTTACTGGCTTTTCAGGATGATACCTCCAACTGGTTGTTAAGACAAACGGCCATTGTTCTGCTTCTTTTGGCCCCACTGCCGCTACAGTGTTGGTGTCTTAATTTTTAGACATTGATGGCTGTCATTTTATGGTCATTGTACTGTTCCTGTGGGACTATTGCTGGGTCCCTTGAGAATCAGCAGCTTGAGAGTGTGGCCTTCACAGCAAGAGAAAAGAAAAACACTGCGAGGGATCCAGCTTCTGTTAAAGGGACTGGCTCAGAAGCTGGCAGCCCTACAACACAGCAGTGCATGGTCATGCCAGGATGGCCCTCGCAACTGCAAGGGTAGCGGTGGGTGGGTGGGTGGCCCCATGCAAGCCCTGCTTGGAGAGGATCAGGGGAGAGACTGTCCTGCACTGCAAGGAGCTATAGGCATGCCAGAACACAACACTCAGCTGCACTTCCAGACCGGGGGGGGGGGGGGGGGAGGGCCTGCAGATGCCTGCAGTCCTCAAAGAGGAGGGAGTCTGAAGGCTCAGAGGCAAGCTAGAGCAGACAGAGATCACTGATCTTTGCCCGTCATCACTTCAGAAAGGTGCTTATGAAGAGAAGGGACTGTGAACTATACCCAGGCGTGCAGGACATCTATTATCTATCTTCTGTATGCAGTCTTGCTGTCACTACCTTGTTTTCTACCCATGGAATACAATTTGCCTGCATTGTATCTGCATTCTGAATCATGTTTAACACTCTATGCTTGTTTTAGATTTACTTAATCCTAGTCCCAATCCTGTGTTTATTAGACATCTCATCCTACAGATTAAATTGACTCACACTGTTTAATCTATCTTGACTCCCAGTGAGAAAGGTGGACTACGAACATAGTAAAACAAACAAACAAACACAATGTGGATGCAAGTGGCAGCCCCGTGTGACCAAAATTCAGTTTGCGGCCACATGGGGAGGGAAGGGTTAGCCCTTCTGTACCCACATAGTTGTGCAAAGCAAAACCACCAACCCTTCCCTTTAAATTATACCCAGGGTATCCATCTTCCCCCCCTTTAAAAGGGCCATAACAGCACAAAGAGACCACTTTCAATTTGCAAAATGATGCAGGGGTGGAAGGGTTAGACCTCCTCTACCCTCCCTACCAAGTGCCAATTCAAATCAGGGCCCCAAACAGCAGCAGTTCAGCTTTAAAAGACACAGGGAGGAGGCAATATCAGACCTTCCAGCCCCTTGCCTCCTTCAACCCTCCTTTTGCACCATTTCTTTTGCTCCTGCTAGTCTTAATAAGGGTTCCAGAAGCTGCACAGGATGCTGAAGGCCTATTTTTTTTTAATCACCAGAAATCCATTTTAACTCCTACCCCTGTACTGAATGCTTTATCCTAACTCTTTCAATGCTAGATGGACTTCCATAAGGACTAGAAACATACTTTACTTAAAAAAAACACACCTCCTCTTCTCAAGACATCATCTCAGAAATGTACCACCACATTTTGTATTGCAAAGTGAGATCTTGGATGCATGGAATATGCACAGCCTTGTGCAGTGCAATGAACCCACAGAATCCTCTTAAGTGCTGCGGGGAATTAAACTGAGAGAAGCTTTTGGCTCACCTCAGCCGGCTCTACCTAAGAAAGCCACTCAGAAGTTGTCCAAGGATTTAGGCAGAAGTCTTTCCTGGCTTTTCCACCCAACCTCCTTTCAGCTGGAGATCATGCAAAGCATGTTCTCCGGCTCTGTTAATGCACAGTGGTGATCATTCCTGTCAGGCCTAACCACCAGCCTCCGTAAAGAAGTTGGCGGATACTAAAACGTACCGTCAGCTATGAGGTGAGCCCCATAACATTCCCTGCTGTGTACAGGCTGACAGCCCGACGCATACCCCACCTTACCCATCCACACATCTCCGAAACATCCCATGCCAAGCTTCTTTTCCAAGTATATGGACTCGCGCACGATTTCCCACGCATCTTTGGCCAGTCCCATTGTCTGGGGTTTCATATTGGGGCAGACCTTGGTTAGTAGGTGGCAGAGACCATCATTGAAC